TAAAATTAAAAAAATATGCAAGGTTTGACTTTATTTGATCAAGAAATTCCGGAGAGATCTTTTTTGCGACCTGTCAAAAGGGAATACTCCCTTGAAAGGGCGAATTGTCGATTTCGCGACGCACTGGATGAAATAAGCGATCGACACTTCCGCGATGGACATTTAGCAGTGAATTTCGCAAATGTACGTACGGCCGGTCGCACGAGTTGGAAGTGAATTAACGAATGAGGGGGAAAAACACGGTGATTTGTCATTCCCGCGTCGGAGGAACGACGACAAGGCGTCGTTTTTCGCGAAAGGTAATCGATGGCGCCTGGCCGTGTCTTTGCTCTTTCCGCAGGTGGGTTTAAGCACAGTTCGTTGGCGGACAAACGCGCCAGCTGCGGAGGTCGCTTCAGGATCGATAAGAAGTGATGCAACATTCGGCTGGGCTTTCATGGGCACCATCGCGACTTTAGCTGAATTGCTCGGAATTGCTAACGAAGCATCCTCGTGACTCGTACACGCGTTTCACTCGTAACAATAATGCTGTTACGATAATATTCTACTCGCCGAGAGGGGAGGGTAAAGAGATCTCAGATTTCGCGAGACGCGAATTTCAACTTCTCAGATGGAGTTATAAAATTGTAAGGACGTGGGATAAATTGAAAAAAAAGTAAAAAAAGATGAAAACAATTGCGTAGCGATAAATTGTAATTGTAGTAATTGTGCAAAACTCGATTTACAAGTCGTATACTATGTAACAAATTCAGAAATAAATTAAGATCAATAAACTGGAAATAAATTAGAGAATCAACAATTCACTTGAATATTTTTCACACAGTGTATAGATCCAGAAAAATCTTCACAGTGTGCGTGAATTAGCACTGTCAAAAATTATTATCCTCCTATAATTAGAATATTTTGGCTCTTATTTTAATTACTTTTGAATATTTTTGGCTTACTTGCCTTATCTGGTCTTCGTTCAAATTCTATAAATTAAAAATGAGTTGACATATGATTACGCTAGAAAAATAAATTAAAATTAATAAAAATGAAATAAAATAGAAAATAAAAAATAAAATGAAAAATAAAATAGAAAATGAAATAAAATAAAAAATAATACACGTTGGGAAGAAAAAGGATGTGCAATACACGAATAAGGAGTAAATCACACACGAAAATCCGTTACACTCGGCGAATCTACGGAGATGGAGGCTTCGTGGAATGCTTTTTCGACGGGTTGGCCGAAGTGGCAGGTATTAGGGACCGGTATTCGAAAAGGAGGGTAGAGGGGAGAAATAAAAAGAGGGTGGGGTCCTAGATAATATATGTAAGGCTTGAACAAAGCCCCTTCGAATGTGTTCACGGCAGACACGCGAATAAGAAACGACACGTACGTATACGCGGACGCGAATGTGTGCATTGCTGCGTTGCAGCGAGCAGCTGAAGCACTACGATTGCTAGACTGACGCATTAAGACTCGGAATTAAGGGGGTTCTACGTTCACGAGCTTCTTCATAGTGAAACGTTCGTGGTAGAATCGAAATCCGCTTCTATTTTATGACTTAGAATTATTATTTCTTTAGCCAGTCTTACTATATCGAAATACTCACATTTTGATGACAAATTATGTTCCCTCTCTCTGTCTCTCTGTCTCTCTGTCTCTCTCTCTGTCTCTCTGTCTCTCTCTCTCTCTCTGTCTCTCTCTCTCTCTCTGTCTCTCTCTCTCTCTCTCTCTGTCTCTGTCTCTCTCTCTCTCTCTCTCTCTCTCTCTCTCTTCTTCTTCTTCTTCTTGTCCCCCTCCTTCTCCCTCTCAAATCTCGGCGAAAAATCACGAGTGAGATTTAGGGTTTATTGCAGTAATCCTCTTCTATTTTATGACTTAGAATTATTATTTCTTTAGAATTATATATAAAATAACATTTATTTCTGAATAAACTTTATATTTCGTAAATATGAATTTCCAAGCACTGATATAGTCTCATGTCTCATATATGTCTTTAACCGACTTCAAAGTTGTATGTTTATCCTGTATGTTTGTATGTTTGTTTGTTTACATGTTGCCTCGTAATTCAAAAACCGTTACAGATATCGAGATCAAATTTTTCGTAACTTGTTCAGTGTTATCTACGTGATTCTTAAATTAACGTCATTACGCGGATTTGTCCAGATGGTTTGTAAATTAGATAAATCCATTATTTTCGTGAAAATCCAAGAACGTTTTAAGATACAAGACGAAACTTGTACTTTTGATTGACTTCAAAAACAAACTTTCAGTAAATAGTCAGAAAGTACGAAATAAAAAATGTTTTAAAAGAAATAAATCGCCTTCAAAAATCTGAAAAAAACTTAAAAAGAAAATAATATGAAATATGAAATAATTTTGTATCAATATTCCTATGTACTACGATTCCTACGATTCTATCCTAGTATTCTGACGATATTCGAAATTGACGCAAAGAAGACAAACTAGATAGATAAAGTAACTGTATAACTATAGTAAGATAAATAATAAAAGAAGTATGATTATTGACTTAATCAGGTTTTCGTACTTTCACACATCTAATATCGTTAAATATTAGAATATGATTCTAAGAGTATAAGAAAAAACATCAGAATATTTATTCAAAATTATTTATTATCACTTAGGGTTTTTGAAATTTTTGACGAGGTGGACTACCTTTTTAAATTTTTTTATTTTTTAATACTATAAAGTCTAATATACAATACGCTCTTTGCTTTCTGTTTCTTGTTCTGTCTTTTTCTGGCTTAAAGCTTAATCTACAATGTGTTCTTTGTTTCCTGTTTCTTTTTTTTTATCCCTTTCTAACTCAGACCTTAAGGCTTAAGCTAGAAAAAGACAGAACAAAAACAGGAAGTAAAGAATACATTGTAGATCGAACTTTAAAAATACCGTTTTACATAATTATATTTTTAATTTAATAATCTTCCATGCATCTCTTTCTCTCTCCCTCTCCTCCCCCTCTCTCTCTCTCGCTCTCCCCCCTTCTCTCCTCCCTTCTCTCTCTATTTTTCTTTTACCGAAAAAGTTATCTTTCCGAATTTATCTGGTCGATCCAACGATTGCCGTCGACGATACATCAAAAAGCGCGCAAATTTGTTGGGCAGCATGGAAGCGAATCAACGTCAACATCGGGCGACGTTGACGGGAAAGGTGCGACGAAATGGAGTACGCGTGATATGTTACAAGGTTGTTTAGTCTGTAACACGAGAGAGTCACGACACTTGATACTAGACATATTATATCTTGACCGGAACCACACACGCCGTGCGCGATTAAAGATCTGCGCTACCACGTGCTGGATTTGTTTCAACAAATTGTCCCTATGGCAATTGCTCCACGTTGATCGTGGCGTTGAAGAAACGACGTCGATGAGGAGGGCATTGATCTCGAAGGAAGCGCTGACAAGTGCAAACGATATCGCGCATCTCTACACAGAGGACAGTTTTGTTTGGAAGATATCTTTATTTTTCACATGTTAATCCTCAAATGTGAGATTACGTAGTGTTATAAGAAAACAAGTTGTATATAAGAATATATCTTGTACGATTTCTTTCTTCAACGAAGAAAAATTATTAAAATTATTATTAATAGCGAAAAGGTAAAGAGAGTTTCTTTGGTAAGATGCGGGGGGGAGAGAGGAGGAGAATGGTATAAGATTATGAAATTAAAAATATAATTATATAAGACAGTATATCTTCTCTCTCTCTCTCTCTCTCTCTCTCTCTCTCTCTCTCTCTCTTCTTCTTCTTCTTCTTCTTCTTCTCTTCTTTTCTCTTTTATAATATTGATAAATAAAAAACTTAAAAAATAGACCACTTTCAACAACTTTAAAAATTTGAAAAATTCTAAGTAACGAGCAGTTTTAATCAATATTCCTATGTACTTACAATCCTATTTTAATGTTATTAAAAATAAAATTATTTTTGAATAATAAGAACACAGACTTTTTTCGTATAAAATCATATAAAATATATTTCTACAAACTTGTCTTCGTATAATCTTATTTAAAGATTACATGTCAAAAATAAAGATATTTTCCAAACGAGAATGTCCTTTTTCCTTTGTACAGCGAGAGCACACTCTATCGATAGCGCAACATTAGCTATACTGTTACAATGTCAGCTAACCTGTTAACTTATTATTAATGACGTTGATAAAGACTTGCAGAACAGTATACGTGAGCGCGAGATTAATCTTCGCCCTCGTTATCGGAGTGAAAATGAAGAAACGTGAGAGAGATCGAAGTTCTCAAGTGGCGAAATGAGCGGGATTGGGAAGTAACGCGTTGCTTGTGATTTACCGTTACGGTTACTTTTTCTTCGGCAACAACTTGGTAACTGCGCTGCGTTTCTTTATTAATAACTGTTAACAACAGTAACAATGAAGTAGAAAACTCAAACTGTCATAATTGAGAGTCATTTACCGACGAGCTTGCGCAGCAATTATATTATGTGAATCATTATTATTTATTGTATTATTAAAATTATATTATTATTGCACAAGTTCGTGTCGATAATCACTGCAAATGTTGACAATCTGCACTGAGAGAAAAATGTATGATATTTGGAACTATAATGGCATAGTAAAAATATTATAGTTAGGAATATAATTTTTATAGTAAATGTTACCATAATATTTGTAATATTTACAATATAAGTATAGTATAACTGACCCGTGTAAAATTTTTACCAAGAATTATAATTATTTAAAATAAAAAATATGGTAAGGTGGCAAATATTGAATGGTAAGAGAAATTAACTATTTTATATAGTCAATACAATTGGAATATTTGGCAAATATAGGTACATGTAACTATATTCCCAAAAGGTGTTTTACCATATATATAGAGTAATAAGATGGTGACTATAAATCTATGTTCATTCTACTATATCTTCATGTTTAGATGAACTATAAATATATGTTTGAGGCCAAAACGAACTATAAAATATAGTGAGATTATAGTTATTCCAACTATTTTTTTCTCTCAGTGTGATGAACTCATGGCTTCATTACGTCTAAACTGTTTTGTAACTAAATATGCAATGATTTGTTAATAATATAATGAATAAATTAATAACATAGCGCGTGGTCAATAATATAACTCAGTAATAATAATTAATAATATAATTATTGTGCAAACCGTCAATAATTAATTTTAATTTTGACAATCTGATGGACTTCAAAATTTATTATGTTCAAGTCATTTTGTAACTAAGTCGACTGCAAATCAGTTTGCACATTTTTTACTCGAATAAAGTTGCAACAGATTGATAAATTCCCAACTTCATTGCGTCTAATCGGCTTTGCAACTAGATGTAGTCGAGAGTGAAAATGGCCTGAACACTTTTTCTCTGGTGCAATTATTATGTGTGCAATGCGCGTATAATGAGTTACTTTCAAAAAGTAACTGTCTATCCAAGCGCCTGGGAACAAGTTGCTCGTAACGAATGCGATTAAGGGGCGATTGGACTCGACAATGCGACATTCTCAAAGGAAGTGTGTCGCGCAACGAGTACGGCAAGACTCTCAAAACTCTCCTCGAAACGGAACTTGGCTCTCGCCGGGGAACTTGTCCGAGTACGACGGGCAGGTGAGAGAATCGAGTCCCGTGATCTGTGTCCCGCGCAGTCGGCGAGGCGAAACGGCATTGGCTCGGCGCGGCGCAGGCTCGCCGATCGATCGGCAAATCGGACGAGTCTGACGTAAATCGCACGCGTCTCGACCTTTCGCGAAAAGGTCTAGCGTGCACGCGTGTAGCCGGGAACGGGTTTGTCACCTTCGGAGGACGCGAGTGACAAGTTTCGTTTAGTGACAACAAGGTGCGTGTCGATGATTGCGATTGGCCCGGGTGACGAGTGGATCATCTGACCCGATAAACCGCGTGATAGCGACGGAATCCCGCTGATTTCGTCACGCGCTTCAAAAGCGCAACTTTTTCCGTCCATCAGTCTCGCAGCCGCGTTCGCGACGTGACGTTGATTACAGCTGAACGAGAGTGGCAGAGAGTTGTGCATAGCACGCGATTATAAGTTTACTCTTTCTTCGGCAACGACTTCGGCTTCGATTTGGTAATTCGAATTGTGTTATGTTTTCCTCATTAATAACTTCGAAGCAATCCACTCGTTTAGTCATTTTTTCATATGTTTTGAAGTACTAGTCAGCAAGGCCGTGTTGCATCAATCGAAATAAATGATAAGCTGAAAAAGCACTCTGGTGAATACGTGTGGCGTGTAGTAAGACTGAAATGTCGACAACGTATTTTTAACTACTCTTGCAAAGTGTGATCGAGCATTGTCGTGCGACAAAATTACTTTGCATTTTCTTTAAGCTATTATATTGGATGTTTCTGGTTCAAAGCACTGGTTTAAATCGATTAATTGTTGTTGATAACGTTCGGCAGTGACTGATTCGATTTCAGCAGCTCATAATGCACGCCTTTCATATCCATCAAATGTATAACAAAAACTTACTTCCATGGATGTTGCATTTTGGAATCGATGTCAATAGTTAACCTAGATTTACCCACAATTTTTTACACTTAGGTTTATCATAGTAGATTCATTTTTCGTCGCCAGTTACAATTTAATACAAAAACTGCTTCTTTTCGTGACGAGAAAACAATGATATGCCTAGATAAGCGCAGATCCACTAGAATTCTTACATTAATCGCGAAATTTACCGGAAAGTTTCAAATCTTTCTAGGTTTTAATTAGATCGACAAAAAATTCTGAAGGTTTTAACAAAATTGATAAAATTTTCAGTTATGCGTGCTTAAATAGACTATTACAATTTATTATAGTTTATAAGAATAATGTTTCTAAAGATTCATATTGCAATGTTTATAAAAATTTTTTGTTTAAATTACAATGCTTCATATATGTGGGATAAGTTATTAAAAAATTAAAGACAAAGATAAGTGAACTTTATTCACACATTCATCGCAACATATCACAATGATTTTTTATCACGAATCACAAACTACAAAGGATTACAATTTTAATTGGGATAATGCTAAAATTCTGGATAAAGAACAAAGAAAACAATTCTTATCCTAACGGCATATATTTATGTATTATGTTTACATTTCTTATTCGATCACTTTGTTACTTTTTCATCTTTTAAACATTAAAGAGTAATAAAAATAACATATTTTGTCAGATTTTGTTTATGTTTACATTTCTTGTATAACGCGTGACGAATGTAAGCAATTTTGTCAGTTTCACATTTTTGTCTATTATTTTATTATACAAAGAAGAATAGTGAAAGCCTCTGTGTTAATTTGTTTCTTTACTTTGCGTAATTTCTGCACATAGAAAAATTAATTCTGCATTCAAATAAATGTTTCAAGTATTTTCTAAGTTTATATATCTGCAAATCTCTCATAAGTTCATCACGAGTATCAAATTTATTCAAGATACATTCTAGATTTTAGTAAGTTTAGCATATTTAGCATTTCAATAAAAAATATTCAATTGAAGTAAATATTCGGTTTGCTTCCTTAGGAGCGCCAATGCGCTCCTTGGGTTACTATATAGAGTCGAATCATAAGATTTTATGATATCCTTGATAATAAATTCTTATCTTGAAAATAAAAAGAATAAATTCTTCTTTTGAATACATAATAATAGACATTCCTAATAATAGACATTCCTAAAGTTTGTAATGAATATATTCGAAGACTATTATGTACAACATATTTTTTTGCTAAAAGCAACCTTTATTTCAAAGAAAGAAAGTAAACTGAGCAATTCTTTTCTTAGCAGTAAAATGATATAATATTTTTCTCTGTATGCAAAATTAAGATTCTTTGCATCATTGATAAGTTTTTGCAATCTTCAATCAATGAATACAAGTGAAGTTGGACGATGATATGTCCATCACTGCTAAATAAGTCGCAGCGCGCATAAATTAATTAAATTTCTTAGAGTAAAATAAACAAATAAAGAATCAATAATTAAAATTAATCAATCGTCATAAATAAAATTCCAAATAATTTCATTACTTGATGAAATATCGTATTTTAGAATACCTTTTTTAGAATATCGTATCATAGAATACTTTTACCTTTTATACTATCCCACTATCCTCCTCTTAAACTTCATCATTTCCTTTTCTTTTTTTTCCATAGTTTTCTCAAAATTCTTCCTTTTATTCTAACCAATTATCCCATAACTTATTCCTTATCTCCTCTGTATTTCTTTGCGATTCTACAAACACATCTTTAACTTTCGTAAATTTTTCCACAAAATGTTTCATATTATTCTATCTTATCCCATAAAACATACAATTCTCTCTTTCCTTCCTCTTCTATTCATTTGTTTAACTCTTCTATATTTCCGCATCTCAATTTAACCAACGCCTCTATTCCATCTCCTATCTTTAAATTACCCAAATACCTATTATTCATATATCTGGATCCTCCTTCTACTACTCCTCTCTCCTTATATAATTTGTTATATCACTACTGAAATTCTACCATCCTCCCATTGTTTCTGATCATTTCTTTTTCTATCTATCATTTCCGACTATAAATTCCTTTTTTCATTTCTTAATACACTTAATGCTATTATCCCACGCATTCCTTAATAGGAATAGAAAATTATAATATTTCTCTCTTTCTTTTCCATACATATCCATCCACTTTCTTTTCTTCTTTTTCCTCAAACGTTTCTTTAATAGACTCTCCTCTATCTTTTAATATCTCTTTTTCAAATCTTATGGCTCCTATACATATATTATTATACAATTTCTCACTTTTGGAAAGCTATTGTATTATTTTTTATTATAAAATAAAATAATTGCCTATAAAGATAAAAGTAGTGATGGTGCAACAACAATTTTTGCAATTCGTATTGTTTGGCCTATCAATATATGTGCACTAATATGAACATTATTACGTAAAAAGTTGCCAATTGCTCTCTTCTTTAATAGCGTGATTTTCTTCTTGGAGTTGTTTTGTGCACGAGTCACGAATATCTTCATAGACTTTGACGTTTGATAACCATTTCATTTCGACGACCTGCAATCGCTCGCGCATTTGATAGCGACAGCAAGGACCGGTGAATTTCCTGCAAGATAAACCTGTTGCTGACGAATAAGAAGGTATCGCGAAACCCTACGAGTTCCCTCGTGCGAAAGAATTGGAGCAAACGCGGCCGCCCACGCAACATCCTCCGCGTATCCTCGCGTACGTTCCCGTAACATATCGATCCCATTTCTCCGGATAACTATACGATAAATCGACGTTGCTAGTTATAAAGTAAAAGTGGTTCGTTCGTGTCGGATGAATTATTCAGGATAAGGATGGAAGGTCCTTTGAGAGAAAACGCCAAGTCCAAGCGCGGAATCGCGGATTTATACATGTGCCTCGCTCTCTCATCGAATTACTCGCGGCCGGCCGTGGAAAAAGGCGAAGACACGGTGATAAATTCGCTGTGCCTTATGCCTCAGATACTGAGAGAAAAATATAGTTGCTTTTGGCGTCAACTATACATTTTTGTGATCTTAACCAGAAAAGTAATTAAAAGAACCATCTTTCTAATAACACTTACTAAAACAATAGTTTTCCTAACTATTTTTATGGTTAAAATCACAAAGGAGTATAGTTGACGCCGAAAGCAACTATATTTTTCTCTCAGTGTAGATAGACACCACTCGTAAACAGCATTTTCTTTATTCTAATGAAACAGTCTTGTTGCAAATACTTCTGTTAATTTCCAAACACCATGCTATGCGCTCGAGATATGCATTGGCAAACACGAACCTAGTCTTCGCGATGTATCTTTCGTTGAATCAAAAGTAAATATTTTCATTTGAATGAAAAGTGGATATTCCAATGGAACTTTTCTCTATTGAAAGAAGATCTTTATCAATGTGGTCATTTCAAGCTAAGCCGTTAATTCGTTAATTTATCGTGACAGAAATTTACTACAGTTTTTTTTCAAACAGTTAACTTTTATCTAAAATAACTAAAGAGTAAAATTACTTGGGATTCCAATTAAAATAACGCTTTAATTTCATTTGAAGCTTGACATGTAAAAAATATATTTTCCAAGCAAGAATGTATGTGTGTGTGTGTCCTCTTTTCTGTGTAGTAATTTTTTTAAGAGTTTACAAAATGAGATTACACGCAAACTTAAAAAAAAACTGACGCAAAAGAGAGGATGGATTTCGTGGAGAAAAACGTGACCGTTGCGTGATCTGACTGAATGTAATCGCTTCAATGTAATCATCAATTTACTCTGCCAACAGCGGGGGGATAATCATACGTAGAAGGGTTGACAATTTGTTACATAAGGGTATCATATCGCGTAGCTTCATGGAGGCCGGCATAATAAACTTACCACTCGTATTGTATACGATTTTCAATTGGTTAACAATCATACTCGCTGTGTGTTAAGACTATTATGCAATCCTCCGTGCAACATGTGTAAGCAAACCTCAACACGCTTATAACTGCTTCCCGATTCATACACAGAAAAAAGGAACATTCTTATTCGGAAAATATCTGTATTTTTCACACGTTAACCTTTAAATGAGATTACACAGTGTTAAACGAACATAAGTTATTTGCACGAATATATTTTATGTGACTCAACAAAGAAAAATTTGCTTTTATTATTCAAAAATACTTTCCGTCAACGGAAAGTATAAAATATTGAATTGATAACATAACGTTGTTAGATATTGGGAGAAGATATTATCACAAAAATAATTATGTCATACTTTTTACGATATTGCAATATTTACGATATTGCAATATTTAAATAAAATAATAACTGTAAAAATTTTCAATATTTATAAAATTCTTCTAATTAAAGGAAATGAGTGAGGTTACTCACGATAATATATTAATGTTCTTTAATTAATAACTAAAAATCTACAAAGTTATTAGGAAAATGATATCGGACTTTTTTGTTCAATTTAACTTAATGTATATATATAGCATACGATAGCAGATGTCGCCACTACAGCTCATCCACCATATTTCGCGTGATCATTCACAAATCTTCTTTAATTAATTTCTCAATAAATACTGCGAATATCACTAAATGGTATAGAACTTTTATGTTCTCTTCAATCCGTACTGTCTTCATGAGAGCTTTGGAGGTTTCTGAGACACCCCTCGTATACGAAACAATAATTGTTAATTTGAATTTATTAGTTTTAAGTGAATATTCTAATTCTTTTTTATGTATGTAAATCCCGCGACAAACGCAACGATAATGAACGCAATCACGCACATCGCAAATCACGATATATTAGAAATGTCTTATTGGGTATTTTAGGAAAAATGTCGAAGTCAGGGAGCATCAAAGATGGCGAGAAAGGGCCGTACGACCCGATCCCCACCGCCGAGAAGGCCAACGACGAGATCAAACTTGAGGCGAAAATGTCGCTTCTCAACGGCGTCACCGTCATCGTCGGTTCCATCATCGGTTCCGGTATCTTCGTCAGCCCTACGGGCGTCCTTAAGTACACCGGCAGCGTGAACGCGAGTCTCCTCGTGTGGACCGCGTCCGGCATTTATTCTATGGTATGTGCAACCGCCCTCACGTGGATAATGTCCTAGATAGATAGAGAAGCGACACTGATGGAAACTGTCTGATTGGCTAATTAAATCACGCGATTCAACGCCATATTATTTTTTGCAATAAACGAGTAAAAGGTTAATAATACTGAAACATACCCGCAATTAACAAAAAATTACAGGCTCTTGAGACTTAATCAAAGCAAACAAAGAATAAGGCAAATAAGAGCCTGGCAATCAACTCTTATTTGCTTTATTCTTTGTTTGCCCCGCAATTAACGTTATAGAAGAATATTTGCTGCAGCTTGATACAGCCAGTAAAAATTATAAGCAAGCAATTATTAATTATGATGTGAGTACGTTTATTTACGTAAATTTTTCATTTTACCTTAATCTCTCTTTGCTTTGACTTCTGTTTGTCTCACGCATCTTTTTTTAATATAACCGAGAACTGGATTCCATCGGCCAAGTTTACCGAATTTGGAAAAAATAGACGGCGGCTTTTCGTACTTATCGCTTTTCTATTTATTTAGAATTCTATTTGCACAAGCAAATATCTTCCGGATTGCCAGTATTTTTTTTAAAAGTTTACAAAATAAAATTACACGCAAACTTAAAAAAAAACTGACGCAAAAGAGAGGATGGATTTCGTGGAAAAGAACGTGACCGTTGCGTGATCTGACTGAATGTAATCGCTTCAATGTAATCATCGATTTACTCTGCCAACAGCAGGGGAATAATCATACGTAGAAGGGTTGAGACAAGAACTTGTTATATAAGGGTATTATATCGCATAGCTTCATGGAAGTCGGAATAATAAACTTACCACTCGTACTATTAGAGTTACTGTATATGATTTTCAATCGGTTAACAATCATACTCGCTATGTGTTAAGAAAAAAGGGACATTTTGTTTGGAAGATATCTTTATTTTTTAATATGTTAATCTTCTCAATTGAGATTACATAGCATGCGAAAATAACGTGTGCTTGCGTCAATATATTTTGTATTCAACTCAAACAAATAATTGTTTAAATTCAAAACAATACAGTTCTTCAGACAAAATTATATATCGTTGTTTATATATGAAACAATGATTGTTTCATAGATAGATCAGTGATTGTTAATTTGAATATATTAGCTTCGAATGGATAGGAAAACTTTAGATATATAATACACATTGAAAAACATCATTTCTCAATCCAATATTTTGTGCTTAACGAAAATTATTTTTAAATAATAAGAACACAGGTTTTTCTTTGTTGAATCATATAAAATATATCCTTACAAAACTCATTTTCGTTAATCAACGCTGTGTAGTCTCATTTGAAGATTAATATGTCAAAAGTAAAGATACTTTCCAAACAAGAATATCCTTTTTTTGCGCCAATTTCTTTTCCTCCAGATAAAAAATAACTTAATTTATTCCGTTATTCACGCAGTCACGATTGAAAGACGACACATCATATTTCGTATAATATCGTATTCCGGACTATTTTTATACGATACATTCTCGCATCACATTATCGTATCGCGGTATTTGGAGACGCGCTTTTCGATTCGGGATTCTTCACCAAGCGTGCTCAAGTGAAGAAATGAAAATAAAAAAGTAGCAAGTCAGATCTGCCGGCGAGCAAACAATATATCAATGAAATTCATGTCATAAGTCGTTTGATGTTTCGACTTTTAAGCACGCAGATATCTGCTTGTTTGAATTTATTTCTCATCTTATCATGAAGATGAACTTCGCTATTTTTCTTCCTCTTTTTTCCTGTTCGATCAATTTGGGTTCCAAAATGTTCTTTTTAAGAAAAATTTTATTCAATAGCTTACGTTACATTTACTACAAAATCGAGTAGAATTTCCTCAAAAAGGGCATTTTGGGATGCAACCTCGGCTAATCTTCTCTCGGGCTTCCGATCGACAGATAGGGGCCTACTGTTACGCCGAGCTCGGATGCATGATACGCAAGTCAGGCGCGGATTACGCGTACATCATGGAGACTTTCGGGCCCTTCCTGGCGTTCGTGCGACTGTGGGTCGAGTGCATGATAGTGCGACCTTGCAGCCAGGCGATCGTGGCCCTGACTTTCAGCGTCTACGTTCTCAAGCCGTTCTTCCCGGACTGCGTGCCGCCCGATGACTCCGTCAAAATGCTCGCCGCCTGCTGCATATGTGAGTAAACGGCGAAAATAAAACAAGAAAAAAAGAAAGAGTAGAAAAGGAGAAACAGAAATCGCGCCTCGAAAAAATTACAGGTTCCGTCACCCGAGCGGAGAACGACGGACAGTAAATTCGAGAATTTATATATGTGTATTGTTGATCGCGTGATACGCGCGGGATGAAATATTTGCAATGAGGCGGCGGGAAGCTAAATCTACTTGAGAGTCGACGAAGTGCGAGACGACAGGTCGAATTAGCTGCCGGATACGAATCAAGTTTCGTGTAACAAGCATGGATTTCCTCCGTGCGCGACTCTTTCCTCTTCTACTCTCGTTGTTAGGTCTTATATATAGGCGTGTGTTCCCGAAATCTACTGAAAGTACAAAATCTGTTCGGAAAGCACTGAAAATCTATAGTAAGGGACAGCAGGCAAAGTTGACCCAAAGATCACTTCCTTGGGTTGACTTTACATTTCGCTCATGTATTTTTTGCGAGAGAAATAGTGGAACAGGAATTGCGAAATTTCCGGTTAGGAGCATGAGTACTACTCTTTCTACATAAGTACTTCTGTATTTTAGAAACACAAGGAATATTTTGCTTCTTTCGCAATAAGAAAGAAAAAAGTATCTACATTCTAAAAGACACATTTTGCAATTTCTTTTCTACTGTTTTCTCTCCCTCGCAATAAGTAGGGAAAGTACTTACGTTTTACAAGGAACATTTTACGGTTCCTTTTTCACTGTTTTCCTCACAATAAGGAAGGGAAAGCACCCCTACGTTCTACAGAGAACATTTTACGATCCACTGTTTCTCTGAGAATAAAACAACGTACAGTCACAACATGACTCTCGGGTCAACTTGATTCAATCACGCCTGTGCGTAAAACGCGAGCCGCGTTTATATTTTCATTACTATCAGCGAATTTCGCAACTCAGCCTCAGTTACCTCGATGTGAAATGAGTCTGATAATCCGCGCGCGAGCATCGAGCGAAAGAGGGTTGAATCTACGAAGGAGCACGAGGAGCAAAAGGAGGGGACACACGACAGCAATTAAGTTTATCCGCCGAGACGCTGCCGTCGTACGCAACAGTTACAATCAAACGAGGGCAATGCCGATTCTCAGTGACGAATAATATGCGCACAATACCGAGGCCAACGATTGAACTTCATTGGCTCGTGTACGTTCATCCGGCATTAAGTACTTCAAACGGGCCGACAATGCGCGGCTCAGAAAATTCGTCTTTCCCACAGCAATCGCGTCCTCGACTGCACACCCACGTCGCCCCGAGATACAATATCATCACTCCAATTCTTATCTTCTTTCATTTGCTTCTCTCCCTTCGTCCCACTGCCACTGACGACGCTCTCGCAACGTGCACCCGCAGCTTTTTCTTCATCAGAAAGAAACGTCTCACCGAGAGTCCGTCTCGTGACACTCCTCGGCTGATTTAATTAGTTGATTTATCATGGAATCAGCTGCGGGTCCGGGCTAACTACTAATTTAATCGCGAGACCATGTCTTCGGGAAATTCACAGCGCGCGAAGCGTTTGCTTGCGCTTGATTTCTCGTTCTTGCGTTTGCGAGTTTGCATGACTCGCGCTGATTGCAGTTCGCGATCGCAAAGCGGATTGCACGGTGGTCCCTGGCGACTTGAAATATTCTCTGTCTATGTGTATAAAATAGAATGTCTGTCTCTGTCCGTTCCTCATACATTCGTCAGACCTTTGACCGATTTAAGCGAAATTTTGTATAATTATTCGAATTGAAATTGCGATCTTATTTTCGATCTCAATATTCTATTTAATAGATTTCTTTGTTCTTTGTAGATGCACTGCTAAACTGACGCAATAAATTAGAGTGAGAAAAAATATACTTGTCTCACTCTGACTTATCGCGCCAGTTCAGCAGTGCAGCTACAAAAAATAGATCAAATGCTTGCTTTAGAGTCGGTTGTTCCAATTTCTTGGTAAGTTAACTGATAGTTAAATCATATCTCTATCTTTGTCTAAGTTGAAGGAAAAACAAAGATCGACATATGATTTAACTTTCAATTAACTTACCAAGAAGTTGGGACAATCGGCCCTTAATGGTGACTTAATTTGGAAACCTATATCATTCTTTTGATTTTATTTAACCTATTAGCTTTTCCTAAAAATCTTGAAAATCTACAAAGGAACATCTTATTTTTTCTGTCATTTAATGATAGAATATAATTTGCTTCTCCTTTCTTATTTTCTGTTTTTCTCTCACTTAAAACTTAAGCTTAGAGCTAGAAAGAGATAAAAAAAGAAACAGGATGTAAAGAGCACATTGTGGATCAAGCCTTAAAAGCGCTAAATAAAACTTCATTTTCTACGTGTATTAATCATACAATCTGGTCCTTCAAAATATACAGATGTCAGAAAAGCTAGATCGAAAGTAGAGCTAAAATTTCGACTTGTATACTCTCTGAGATCCTGAGGAAAATATCCTAGATAGCACGTGCCGTTTAAAAACGGCCGTTTAAAAACGTTTTACAAACGAAACATTACGTACGTTTAGAAAACGTACAGTAAATAGCACAAGAACGTACTGCTTGTTTTCCTTGATAAAAAAGATTGAAATCAAATATATAGTTTTGTTCCACAAACTTTGAATTAAAATGCGTTTATCTAATATGATATCCAGTTTCCTGCATTAGTATATTATAGCCTGGTAACGTCGAGGTATGCTTTCGACAATAATTGGCTCCGAGTCCCCAGATGCTAATCCAATTGAAATTGTGTGGGCAGCCATGAAGTCGAAGCTCGGGGGAAAACGTGTCTTCAATTTAAAACAATTATCTTACAAGTTACGGCAAATATGGAGGTCACTTCCAGAAACTTCAGCTGAAAACCTTGTCAAAAACATGCCTCGACGTTGTCAGGCTATAATCGACAATGCAGGAAATTGGACGTCATATAAAGTAAACATATTTTAGTTCAAAGTTTGTAGAACAAGACTATACACTTGATTTTCTTTTTCAGAAGAAACCTTCTTTTTCAGAAGAAACAAGCAGTACGCTTTTGGAGCGATTTTTCAATAAACTTGAATTCAAGTTTAAACAATTCTAACAATGCGTTTGTTTTGTTTAAACAGAGTTTAACTTGAAAGCTAAGTTTAACCTATCATTGAAAAATCGATCCTTACTGTACGTGAAACCAGTATGTGTTACTAGGGATTAGAGATGTGCGAATCAAAGATTTTTAATGTAGAATCGAATTGAATCTCAGACTTTAATTTCAAATTCGAATCGAATCGAATCGATGAAATTTCACCCAAATCGAATCGTTAAAAGAATTTTTAATTAACATAATCATTGAATTCAACATGAAAATAGTGACTTCAATAACTAACAGAGAAAGAGGTAACATTGATTATGTGATATCAATTTTAAGGTAAGAGATATATAATATATAGTCGGTAAACGCTTATGGAATACAGTTCCAACCTTAAAAGCTGCGCAACGACACATATCGATCCGACAGTTGTCGGTAAGAGTTTATCTAGAAGCCATCATCTTGTTTTAATATTTTTGAAGAAAATCTTAATGTATAGAAAACTTTTCAAGTCATGCTAATTCCCGTAAGGCTGGATGTCTTTAATAGTTCTTCGTTAATACTAATGTGCACGATCCGTATTCGAATCTTTTCTATTCGAAATTTTCGAATTATTCGAATTCGAATCATAGGAATTCGAATTTGAATTGAATCGAATTTCACTTGATTCCATTCGATTCGAATAGTTCGCACATCTCTACTAGGGATAGGCTACCATGAAAACTAAACTCATTGTTTCCTCCTGATGTCGTCCCCTAAACACTTTGTGATAATCCAAGCAATGTCGGATGTTTTAAACTAGTTATTAGCTGTATAACACGGAGCAACGTGCACAGTGTGTGCGATAGAGATGACATTGCAAGAAAGAACGCCACGTGGAAAGAAAAAATGATCTATTATCAGGAGCGCTGCAGCGCGCTGTTCGTTGAATTGTGCACACGCTTGGGAATTCCTTCGCAGCTTCTTACGTGGCTTTTCTTGAGGAAACTCGAGTGTACACTCGGAATTCCCTGAACAGAAGCGGGAATGACGGGGAAACGGGGGGAACGACGGGGG